CCATAAATCGTTAGAATACTGTTGTTTAGCAATACATTTGACATTCGTAATTAGTACAATTTCTAACGCAGAATCGAACGGTGGTATTTTTGGACCAGGAACTGGTCCCCAATCGCTGCTAATCTTGTTGTTGTTGTTGTTGTTGTTGTTGTTGTTGTTGTTGTTGTTGTTGTTGTTGTTGTTGTTGTTGTTGTTGTTGTTGTTGTTGTTGTTGTTGTTGTTGTTGTTGTTGTTGTTGCTGTTGCTGTTGCTGTTGCTGTTGCTGTTGCTGTTGCTGTTGCTGTTGCTGGTGCTGGTGCTGTTGCTGTTGCTGTTGCTGTTGCTGTTGCTGTTGCTGTTGCTGTTGCTGTTGCTGTTGTTGTTGTTGTTGTTGTTGTTGTTGTTGTTGTTACGGGGCGACGCCCTTTGAAAAAACCCTAAGGCTCCGTCATTACTTGTCCGATCGGAATGAAACTTGACATAATTATTCTAAGCAATATTCCGCATCGATTGACGGTGTTCGATTTTTTATTTTTGACTTTAGAAGCGAAATACAAGCAATTTTTGACTGTATTCGTAGCAATTAATAATACATATCATTAATATTTAGCAAATATATCAGCAAACGCAAATGATAAGACAGACATTGTCTTTTCTATTGTTCGTTGTGAACACAATCATAATTGTCTAAAGCTTCTCAAGAATGTGGACGGCTAATTATAACGATTAATTATAGACGTTAGGACTTAAGTTGACTAATTTAAGGTGGCTCCCTACAGTTATAGTCCAGTTTAAAATATTTATATAGCTCAGACGTCATCCTCGCGACTCACGCGTGGAATCGTCGTGGCCCGGTAAAAATCTTGAAACAAGTAAACAAGCCGCGGGAAGTTGTTTTTGTATTTTTATCTACAAAGAAAACGCCAGTTTTTTATTACAATCCTAAACTTTTCAACATTCGAACAGTACGTATGTTGTTAGCTAGTTTTTACCTACATTCAGTGTGTTTTTTTATATATTTAATACGTTCAGTACTGTATTTCATAATGCTCACAATGTTCAACAACAGTGTCACGGACTGAAATTATATTTTATACTGTCTTGAAGGCACTCCTGAATTGTCACTGAAACTTACGTAAACCCTGTCATTCAACTCTGTTCACATGTAGTTTTTTATCTGCTGAATCCAATAAAACTATAGTGCAGACAGTTACGAGTTGTTTTATACGAAAAGTCAAACTCTACTTGAATGTTTTGAAAAGTTTTCACACTGATTTTCACAACAAAACTAAATTTAAGAAACGTTGGATTAAGTCAGTGCGTTATTGTGTTCTCAATGTTTCGTATTTTGAATATATACATATATCTTTTATTTTCATTTCAAATAAGTAAAAAATATCTGTGTGATACATATAAGCCAAAACTCAAAGAGAAAATTGCTAAAAAAGCCAACTATAAACCGTACGCGTTTCGTGTTCCCCACGCAAATAGTGATCATGTCGAATCGATATTTTGTCACGTCAACAGCTTCAACTGGATTTAGGACTATTTTTCTCGCGTTTCCTTCGGTGAAAGTTTTTCAAACTTTGCACGTTTGCTAAGCATGACGATTCGCCAAACATATCAAAATTTTAAGAAATTCTATAAGACAGATTTTTTGTAGTCGTTATTCATGAATATCTCAAAACCGGCCTTATAAACATCCCTTCAAATTTTAATATGTCATTCCCCTTTCAACCATAAATCTTAAAAAAAAAATTCAGAAAAATTGACCGAAGGAAAAAAAGATATCGCCGTTTGATTGTAAAATTAGACAATAAAAGTGCAAAAGATGAAACGTCATGGTTGCCATGGCAACACTAACACTGTTCCTATTTATTCATATATGGACAGCAGAAGACTTCTGAACTTTCCTGGAAATGATTATATTGCCCTGTCTTAAGTGTTTTCAATATAAATTTGGTTCAAAACGAAGGCTACCTAAAATACTTAAAATTTTAGAAAACTGTAGGGAGCCACCTTAACACGCTGGCTTAGTTTCTCAAAGCGCCGAGGAGTACTGTACTCCTATCTGCATGGCTATCATATAATATTCATAGTCATGCATTGCCAGAAAATCGCGAACCATAAAAACAAAGACATTTCAATTTGTTTTTAGCACAAGCATGCCGTTATGAAGCCATTACCAAGCGAAATGAACTGCATTAACCTATACTATATAGCAACAATTCAGATAATTTGTTACCTTATATTAACTTAAGTCCCGTTTACACGGCACGTATACACGACTGTAGCTGCAATATATTTTGCAATGGCACGCACGGAACGGCAAAATTTGTTACGGCAAAAGTTAAATTTAGACATGGCATGTTTAGTCTTAATACTGTGGGACATTTAACTTACCTAATTCCAATACGAGTATATAGTTACTTTTGAAAACTGCGCATTTAGTTATTTATATGCTTTGTCCAGATTTACACTCATTTATACACGGCAGGACTAGACACATTTTTTGTTCGGATAAAGTTTATCTTGCATGGCCAAATTAAAGCAAAACATTTAGCGAACTCAGTCTAAGCTGCCATGCAATTTTGAGACTAAAGTGTCTAGTTATTTGTTTATCAAGTCAAATCTCGAAGGTTCTGAACATTTAACAACTTGCACAAGATCGAAACTGGGTCACGCAGTTCCTGGTCCACTATAGTACGATCGTACTTGTTATCCTTATTGCGCCATTAGGCATTACAAATACACTATGAAACTTCCAACATGGCGACTAGTCACAATTCAAAGCGCTCCACATCTTCTTCAAATTCACAACAACTAAACGGCGTTAATGACGAGAAAAGATTAAAATCTACTTGTTTATACATTCAAGAAGGCGAATTATTTTGGAAGGGAGGCTATGATGACCTACAGGAGTTGATTAAAAGAGACCTCAATCTGAGTGGGAAATGGCTTTCATCCGGCGGGGAGTCTAAAGAGTTTATTCATCGCGATTTTGTTCTGAAATGGCAAGGGAAATCAAAACAACGATTAATTGTGGTGAAAGATGACCAAGAGAGCTATCTTACAAATGAGCTAAAACTCTATGCCAGCGAAATGGACGACGAAAATACTTGTTTTGACAGCGAAGCGGGCGAAGACGAACTGGTCGAACACATGGTCGCGGAAATTATCGATCAAGATGAATACACTACATCCCACATCATGCTGCAATTCAAAACAACAAGAATTCGAAACAACTAATGAAAGAAGCAAGCTTCAACTTACGAAAGTGGAACTCGGACTCTATACCGAATCGCTCAAATACATCGACAACGAAGAAAATTGCCTTCGAAGCACCTCAACATCCAAAACAAATGAACGACGGAAATATAACAGAAGCAGATGAATCGTACACGAAAACGACAGTTGGCAACAATTTACAATCGACAGCAAAATCAGTGAAGGTTCTTGGAACCTCCTGGAAAACCCCTTCCTTTGACCCATACAGCATCTAATTAATTGTATAATTGCATATGGAACCCGAATTACCAAGCCCAACTGACGAAGAAGTTTGTACCTGTCCACCATCTATCGAGACAACGACGAATGGTCAACCGAGACGAACAGCTGCAGTTATTGGAGAACTTTTACGTAAAGGACAATAACGGACTGAACATTGATAATTATAGAAAAGTATATGTTATGGTTAATATTAATATCTTTCATTTGATCATCATAGCTGATCAACCCGGGCAGTGTGATGAACATTTAAATTTAATTTAATTTATGTTGACTTAATTTATGCCAACCAATAGCAGAACTGTTGCTATAGAGACAAAAGTCATACGATTTATAGCTCGAACGATACGACTCATAGCTCGAACACGATACGATTTATAGTTTTTGTATAGAGTTTTACGTTCATATTTTATACCAAATGTTCAAGAAATTATAGAAATAAATACGATATTCAATTCACAATGCCTTGCTTTTAGTAATAACTCACAATCCCAACAATCCTTAAGTAATTGGAAAAATAAGGGAGAACTTTAACTTTCTAAACAATTCCGAAAAAATGGAACGAGTATTAGACAAAACAAAACTTATTGTAAGCAAGCGTCAACCGAAGAACTTCAGGAAGCGATACTTGACAAAAGCACAATTCAATTCAGAGGACATGCAGAGAACACTCTGTAACAAAATGGGAGGAAAACCGATGTGGAACATGCGATGTTTTAATCACAGGAAAGTCTATTACATTAAAGAGCGGAAAAACGTGGAAAGTCAATTCGACGATGAACTGCAAAGCGAGATATGTCATTTACGTGATCATTTGCTCAAAATGCGACAGCTTCTACGTCGGCCAGACAGAAAACTTACGAAAAAGAGTGACATTAGACAAGGAACAAATTCGACACGAAAAGTATAGACATCTAAAAGTAAGCGAACACTTAAATATGTGTAACAACGGAATTTTCAAAATAATGCCTATATATCAATGCATTAACATGGACAGACTTTTTAGGGGGATGAAAGAAAAAGAACTTATCAATATACTGAATCCGGATCTGAACGCTAATTAAAAAACCATTAAGCTTATGCTTACATTTAGATCAATAGAATGTTTTTAACAGGTGACTTCACACTATGTAAATATATGCATTCCTAACATAGTTATTAAAATATGATATCTTAGAACGTGATAATAGATAAACTAACTAAATTGCACTCATTGTAAATACATATGCATTGTCAATGCAATTGCAGGAATAAGTCCTCGTGTCCACTGCCCGGTAAATGTCTGACATCCAGCGTAGTATACCAAGCAACGGTTGTTAGGAACGATACGAATCAAAAGGAATCGTATGTCGGACATACTGAAGGACAGTTCAAATCCAGATATTATTGCCACACTAGCTCATTCAGATTAAGCAAGTATAGAAATGCCACAGAGCTGAGCAAATACATCTGGAAACTAAAAGAGTCGAAGGTCAAGTACTCCATAAACTGGCGTATTATTAAGCAATGCAAGAGCTACAACAACACAACGAAACGCTGCAGTCTTTGTACACATGAGAAATTCATCATAATCTACCACCCTGAACTTTGTTCTTTAAATTCAAGAAGTGAATTATATATATATATATATATATATATATATATATATATATATATATATATATATATATATATATATATATATATATATATATATATATATACAGGGTGTATCAAAAAAAACTGAACAGATTTAAAATTGCTCTCAATTTCGCAAAACAGCTATTTGTAGCTGGTTTTTTATATATATAGCTTCTTTGGGTACTTATAATGTAAAATAATGAAAAAAATTTCTCGAACTTAAATTTTGTGAACCAGGGGGGTGTGTCTTTTCCAACAAAATAAAAATGGCTCGCGCACAAAATTTAAAAGCTGCAATCATATTTTGAGTTAACAGATGGAAAATTTGTCCGGATTTTAATTACTGTACAAAATTTCAGACAATTTGGTTTAGTTTAAGCCCCTTAACTATTCACGCAAAGTTACAATTTTCCCGAAAAATCAGCTATTTGCATGCTTAATTAATACATTTGCCTAATTTGCATATGTCAACAATATGCAAATTAGGTAAAGGCATTAATTAAGCATGCGAAAGGCTGACTTTTTAGAACAAAATGAATAGTTAAAGGGCTTAAACTAAACCAAATTGTCTGAAATTTTGTACAGTACTTAAAAACCCGACAAATTTTGAATCTATTAACTCAAAATATGATTACAGCTTTTAAATTGTGTGCGCGAGCCATTTTTAGTTTGTTGGAAAAGACGCACACCCCTGGTTCACGAAATTTGAGATCGAGAATTTTTTTTCATTATTCTACATTATAAGTACCCAAAGAAGCTATATATATAAAAAACCAGATACAAATAGGTGTTTTGCGAAATTGAGAGCAATTTCAAATCTGTTCAGTTTTTTTTTGATTATATATATATATATATATATATATATATATATATATATATATATATATATATATATATATATATATATATATATATGTAATCTACACGTAATTTAATACTTGAACATTCCGTTTACGTCAAACATGTATACAGTATATATAACCTTGGCAACAACATAGTGCGACATTTAAATTCACCTGATGAGTGTGGCAAGCATTGCTTGTCATACGAAACAAGTTTGTAGTGAATAAATGTTATGAAGTAAACCAGGTTTATTTTATCTTTATCTATATTAGCTCTATACTTCGGTATATCGAGCACTCTACTCATATATGATTCTAAATATATATATATATATATATATATATATATATATATATATATATATATATATATATATATATATATATATATATATATATATATATATATATATATATATATATATATATATATATATATATATATATATATATATATATATATATATGTTAATCACTGTAGGTAAGTATTTTTTAGTGAACAGGAAAAGCTGAGACTGAGTCGGATTCGAACCGGCGACCTCTGGGTTACAAGTCCCCCTATATATATATATATATATATATATATATATATATATATATATATATATATATATATATATATATATATATATATATATATATATATACCAAAAAAAAGTACTCCGGTTTGATTCGTAATAACTTCTAAACAAGTAAAGCTTTTAAAGAGAAATAACTTGCATCAAATAGAGAAAAGACTAACTTAGATTTTGATATATTACAGTTGTATTTCACTTAAAAATTCACGGAGATATTAATCTTTAAATTCGGGAGGATATTTCTGGATGTGTCTGAAATATGCAAAAATCGGCATATCAAATATTAATCAAGATTTGCCCGACTGAAACATGCACTATTACCAGTAAATAAATGACACTTGACAAATTGTTTATTATGAAACAAAGTATTATTATATCTACAAAATACAAGCAAGATTCATTCGTCCGAAATTCGCGTGTGTTCCTAGCACGAATACGTTTCCTTATTTCATGAGACCACTGCATCACGAAGGATCGTCATTGGATCGTTCGTAGTTCTGAATTAGGGCATGCTGTCACAACGGAATTGTGAAGCTCTTCTAACTTCTGCAACGTTCTGAAATCTTGTTTAAGAACACCCAAACTCTTTCGCCTTTTTCTTAATCTTGGAAAGTTCAGAGTAAACTGAGAATTATATGAAACACAATCAAACCATATAACCCCATAAGACATAACAATTAAGCAACTCCCCAGAGACATGCAACATTTTTGGAACAAAACGTAACAAAATAGTAGCGTTGATGCGGTGATGTGTATTTGCAAAAAGCAATATTATTTCCTTCAATAAAGAATATTCATCCTGCTCTAACCGAGAAATAATCTACTCAGTCTGTTTGAACCCATTAAAAACATAAAAAATTAGGCTATTTAAGAATACGAAAAATTTAAGCGCCTGCCTTCCATGGTCAGTCTTTCATGTACATTTAAGTTTGCAAAGACCTAATATTAAATACTTGCATAATTTCGAACGTTCATATTTCAGGAAACAATGAGCTAAGACTTACATGTAAGATGTTTAAATCTACCCCGTATCCCTTACAAACCTTAACGATAATTCGCTGAAATACAAGTTAGCCTAATATGTCATTAAGCAAACAAACGCTGGAGTTAATATTTGATATGCCGATTTTCGCTAATTTTAGACACATTCCAAAATATGCTCACCATTTTTAACATTAATATCTCCGTGAATTTTTAAGTTAAATACAACTGTAATATATCAAAATCTAAGTTAGTCCTTCCTCTATTTAATGCAAGTTATTTCTCTTTAAAAACTTTACTTGTTTAGAAGTTATTACGAATCAAACAGGAGTACTTTTTTTTGGGCCGCCCGGTATATATATATATATATATATATATATATATATATATATATATATATATATATATATATATATATATATATATATATATATATATATATATATATATATATAGGGGGACTTGAATAATTAGGATATTGGGATGTTAGCTAGGTTTGTAATCCTTATCCCATAGCTGTGTTAAATGCGGCTTTCTGATTGGTCTAGAGCAGGTGAGCTTGTCGTCGAGCTCACCTGCTTTTTGTCGAGCTCACCTGCTTTTCGCCCGAACTCACCTGATAAACTGCTTACGTTGCAATAACAATAACAAATATGGCGGACAAGATTTAGCTGATAAACCTAAACTTTAAAGAACTTTTTTCGGTGACTAACATACTGAG